ATGATAGACAGGCGTTCGCGGGCGAAACTTCCATTTTCGTCGTCCCCAGCGGCGAAGCGAACGTCTTGGAAGGACCGCATTGCAACAGAAGATGTTTCCGCAACATCTGGAGGGAACATATCGACTGCTCGATGATCAGGAAATGCGATAGATGTGGGGCGATCGGGAACGGTGAACGTGGAGGAGCGACGGAGGTCGGGATTGCTGACAGAGGTCGGGAGAAGACTGGGACATATTAGAGTGTTATCCCCGCCAACTACAGAATACGACCGTGGTGGAGAAAAACTCTTGGGTCCTCGGTATGGGCCTGGGTCGTGGGTGGAAGTGGTGGATTGGTGTCTCCGAAGTTGACGCGAAAGGAACGTCCAAAACATATACCACCACTTGATGCATCGTCCCTTGACCGCACGTATCTGGCGCAATAGGGTCAATAGCACTCGGACCAGACTCGGGGAAGACATGGAAAGGGAGGTTTGGAAAGACCGAGTGGCCTAGGAAGGCGAACATCATCGTGTACATATGCTGCATCATGTTCGAAAGCGCTCGAGCCTCGTGCCAATGTTTTTACAGGTCTTTACATAACTGATCGCATAAATCCACTGTCTCTTCCAAGTCTCTTCAGCGTCATTTTTTGAGGAGGAGAAGTCCTTCAAGTTTAGACTACCCATCCGTTGCACTGCATATCCTTGTGATGTTCTATTCGGCTGATGGGAAGACAAGTATATCTAACTAGCCTCGAAGACGGACAAGTAAAACTCTTCAGGCAGAAGAGTATCGGGCGTACGAAAGAAGGGTCATTGCACTGCTGAACGCACAGGTTACCATTGCGGCGGAGCGCGGTCATTCCCCTCGTTGCTGTGTCGCCTGAGGTGCCCATGGTTGAGGCTGCCACTTTTCATCTCGAGCGGGCAGTGGGAGATCTGAAGGCAACTTCGGCCTCCGGCCTTGCCCACCAGCGCTCCGGACGGTTTCATCGGTCGGGAGAGGTCCGTTCCCGGAGGCGGCAAGTCTACCGCTTGCTATCACAGATTCGTGGACCGGGGGTTGGGAAGGTATCGCAGATGATATAGGGTCAGAAATCGCGGCAGTTATACGAGCATGCTCTTCTCGATCTCGGGCCTCGAGCACAGTTGCATTGTGGAGGACGCGCCGCTGACGCACCAGGTCCGCACGGAGTTCCTGCACAGGAAGGTCAGCCACGAAGAAAGGTAGTGCAAGAGTCGTACCTCCAAGGTAGGTGGGTCCGGTCGAGTATGCGACATCCAAGACACCCATTGGACTTTATTCATGCTGTTAGCGGCGCGGAAGGACACGAGGGACTGGCCACGCACCTGGGAGCTTTCTCGAGCCTCCGATGTAGTGCCACATATCTTCATAAACCTTGTACTTGACTCGGCGTTTGGTCCTTCTTATGTCTGTCGTGTATACACGTATATGACAACCCCGTCCAATCTCCTGATAAGGTGTAGGACGTACCATCTGAGGTACTGGGATATTCGAAAAATCTATTGCCTGAAGAAGCGGATCAATGCCTTGGTGAAGACGGGCGGAGGAGGACAGACTCACGGACCTTCCAGGTCAGTGCCCACAAAAAAACGCTGGGAAGCCCGTGAGCAACAATGAAAATGCTACCCCGTAGGACGGGCAACGCACCGGTCTCCGAATGGTATTCCAGACGCGAGACAAAAATGACATCGGAGCGATGTACCGTTCGTGGGCGAAAGGGTGGGCTTGCGATGGCGATGCCCAACAGGAAGACAAGCGAAACAGAAACAGGAGTCTTGACTCTTGACGGCAGTGGTTGAGTCTGGGTAGGTCTGGGTTGAGTGGTGACGGTCAACGCTGAAGCTTCAGATCTTCAGAGCTCGAAGCTTGAACGTAAGTAGCAAAACGTAAT